CTCAGCGTATCAAGAATTGCCAGTAGAACAAATCATAGGCAGAGAAAAGAGACTATTTGCAAGACTGTAGAAACTGGACACTTACAGCTTGGATCCTTGTGCGAGGAATTCCATTCAGGATGAAGCCTGTTTCACCTCTCAAATATCCTTCTTCCAGCCTCTTTGACAACAGCCGAAAAATTATTTCCTCAGGGACAAGTTTTCCTTCATCCAAGGCATTCGCTATCTGCATTGGACGACACAAAATAGAGTATCTATTAAAAATGATAGATGTGAACTGTTACATTGGTTCAACTACTAAAATTCAGGTACAAATTGAGGGGATTCCAAATGGAGAGATCCAAATTTTGCTTTATCACATCTAAGACAACAGACTACAACCTGAATTTTGGGAGCGGGAAAGAAAGGTTTCAAGGAAAGAAGGAATAAAGAAAAAGAGAAAAAGAAAAGAAAAGAATTACGTAGAATACATATAAAGTAGGAACCACGAAAAGAAACACGAAACGGTCAAAAATTGAAGAATTCGACTGCAAGGACAACAGAAATCCGAGGAAAGATTATCAACTAATTGCTCTTCGACTTAAGGTTAAACTGAACTCCAATTTTTTTCAACTAAACAAACAAGGTTTAAGCCAAGCAGCACAAGAAAACCACGTTAACTGAATTCAAAAATCACCAGAGCGGGAGAAAAACCTGCTGGTAGAGAGAAGAACGAGGACTAAGTTCCTGGCTAAGGAGGGTGGCCATAGAAATGTGTGGAACTTCGAGAAGCTTCGAGAGCCTCTCAGCAAAAACATGCCTCTTGGAGCCTGGTTCCCCTATCATTACCCACTGCACTCCACGTTCCGATGCGGAACCTTCTGTATCGGCCATGGCACTTGGCTTGCACAATTCATACCGTTCTTCTTCTTCATAATCATCATAATCGTACTGAACTGCGGCAGCCGCCGATCCGAAAGCTCGATTAGAGAGTAATCTGGGCGGTCTGAACAACGGAGCGACCCACTCTCAGTCTGCCGATCGCAGCCATGGTAGCGGTGGACGGAGGTTGCAGTGGCGGCTGCTACTATTAGTAGGGCTCGAGAGTGAGAGGAGAGATTGTCAGTGAATATGAACCTGGGATTGTCTAATAGGGGCATATTCGACTTGGGCAAATACCACTATTTGTCGTGTTAATTACGGGCATGCCACTCCATTTTGATCGTTGATTTTATGGCGGGAGAGATGCCGGGAACGATTCCCACTTGGCGTGCGTCTATTGGAAGAATACAAGACGTACGATCTGTTATTTTGAAAGAGAATTTAATCAAGTGCGTGCAGGCTCACGGTTTTGGTATTCCTTTGAATGATTTTGAACCCGGACCGGACCGGCCGGACCGGCGACCGAACTCCTAAACGGCTCGTTTTTTTGTCGAAAACCGTTTTAAAGGTTGAGCCGGGAAGAACCGGCTTTAGAGCCGGAAACCGTCGTTAAGCCAGGAACCGGAACGGTTTTTGAAAAACCAAACGGGTCGCCAGATGAGGCTCTGAAGGTGAAGGAGAATGAGGAGGAGGACCAGGAAGAAAGGGGAGAAGGAAAAACCAGCCAGAAATTACCCAGTAATTTTTTTATAATAATAGAAATAATGAAAAATATTAGCAAAAAAATCAAACAGAACCTGAACCATTTAACTATCCATGGCTGTCGACTATGACTATGCTGGAGTTCGGAGTTCGAACAACTGGAGTTAGGACTTCGGATGAAGAAGGGAAAAAAAATGGCGAAGAGGTTATCGTTTGAAAGGACAGGAGTAAAGAAGCTGAACTGGAAGCACGTTTTACTGCCTCACCTTTTTCTTTTTTCAATGTAAATAAATTTGACTTCTCACCCATCAGGCTATTACTGCCACACACATTTACCGAGGCAATTTTTTTATTCTTTTAGTTGAGAATTTTCTTAGCCTTTTATAGAATACCTCCAGACGTTTTTTAAGTTGGGAATAGAAGAATTATAATGAGATTTAAAAAAAATAATTACAAAATAAATATAAGAAATTATTATTTTTTATTTTAAGATTTATCATTATAAGTTATGTTATTGAAATTTTTTAGTACTGATTTTTTTTTCTTTGAGAACTTATTATAATTCTCCCTACTTGTTTAAACATTTTCCCTCATTTTTTGTTTCTTTTTTTCGTCAGTTGGTTTCTTTATTTAATTTTTTTATTAATTAATATAAATTAAACATGCATTTTTACTACATTATTGTCATCTAAATTTATTTAAAGTTTATTTTTAAAATAATAACTTTAATTTTTGAATGCATATATTATTTTATAAGTATATAATATTATTTTTATTTAATTATTACATTACCGATCTGACCATCGGTTCAACTGGTCCAACTATATGAACCGTGACCCGTTAGTCTTTCCGGTTCAATGTCCGGTCCGGTTTTTAACACATTGCCTTTGATTGATTTATTTGAGTGGCTACAGTGGTTGCTGAAAGCGGAAACAGTCAAATACTAATCCAAGATGTTCGCTATGCGTCCAATCAACCCACTGATAACGCCAATTGTCCTCACTTTTTCCATTTTGAAATGGAATTATAATTCTGACTGTTCAATTCTTAATATAACAATTATTTAATTTTTATTTTAATTTTAAATATAAGACCTCATTATATTTTGTCTTTTATATTTATTTTTTTTAAAATAGTTCTTATAATAATAGTGGTTCTAACAAATATACTTGATTAGTAAAGATATTTTAGGAAAGACAATATCTATTTATTAAAAATAACTAACTTAACTAATTTTCTTAATTTATTCAAATCAGTGAACTAATTGTTATACTAAGAACCGGAGATAGTATATTGTAATACTACCTCAAGTTCTAATTATAAGAACAAGTTGACTAATTTGAGAAGATTAAAGAAATAAGTTAAGTTAGTTATTTGTAATAAATAGGTGGTGTTTTTCCTAAAATATCCTTACTAATCAAGTGTGTTGGCTAAAATTATAATTATTCGAAGGACTATCTTGAAAAAATTATATAAACATGAGAGACAAAATGGATTAAGGTCTTATATTTCGGATTAAAATAAAAGTCAAACGAGATCTTATATTAAAGATTGGAGGTAGTATTTTTTAATATTTTTTTTTGGAAAGAAAGATGATCATTTAGATAAGCAGGTCCTAAAATGATCTCGCGAAGTAGCTTCTAAAATCCTTTGAAACTATTCTTAAATTGAGTTTTTAAATACCTTAATGACGCTGTGATATATAGAATCAAGTCAGAATAATACATTATCAAAATTTAATTGCAAAATAGACAGTAAGAACTTACAAGAATTAGTCCATGTAAGGGGGATCATTTTGAAATTTGTTAATTTCGGTGACTTTATGTGTCTTTGTCTTTAGTTTTTAATTTCATTAAAATTAGTCGAAGTCGGATTCGAAATGTACCCGGCGGCTCAGCGATTGAATCTCATGCCCTGGGTCTTGCCGTAGCTAATACCAAACCGAGGACATGCTCAGCTTTAGAAGCTAAATCGGAGGAAGTTGTTGTGTTACCCAAATGACACGTGGTATGTTGAGATGTTTTTTGCACCCCAGGGCAGGCCACCCACTTGTTGATATTTGACTTTTTTTAAAAAGAATTTTACTTTTCTACTCCTAAATATAAAACCCTTATAATATAAAAGTCTAAGAAGAAGAGTATTTAATATATAAGCTTCATCAACTTTGGAATCCTAAGAAGCTCCGTTCTCGAAGAAGAAGGTGGCGTAACTTTTATCAAATTTTTATGGATTATTTGGAAATTAATTTTTGTGTGTGTGAAAATGCTTTAATAAGGACTTCAATTGTTTTAAACAATTGAGTGCTTATTTAGAATGGTAATAGAACATTAAGATTTTTCAAAAACAATTTTTTAATCATAATTTAAAAAATATAAAATAAATATATATAAGAGGATTTTTGTCACCACTTTTAAGAATATATATATTTTTTTTAATCAAAAAGCTCCAAACAAAGGTTGGCCACATATTCTTCTCTTCCCTACCGTTGGATGAATCTGGTGGCCCGTATTAAAGCACTGCCCGGGGCGGACTCACGGGAGGGGAGCTGAATCCCTGGGGCTTACCCGGAACATTTTCCACGCCAAAACTCCAACTACTGCGGAGACTCCCAAATTCAAAATCCGAGAAGAAACGGCACGTTTTAATTAATTTCAACAACACTAGACGGACAACGTCAAATGACTTCAGTCATATATTTAGTAGACGATACTCAATCTGTACAAGCTGGTCTGTCGTAAATTTACACGGACGAACCAGCCTTCTGATATGGACCTAGCTTCAATTTTTTTGTTGTTCCAGATTCTTCTCTCTGTCTCTATCTCTAACCTTCAGGCATAAGCATCTCTTTTCTTACAGGGATGCGACGAAATGAAGAGTCTTTCCGTAAATTTATCACGATGATATATAGACCCCCCAAAAGAATGCTCCCATTGGTCTACTTCGTCGGGTTCCAAGGGGAAAAAAAAAAAAAAGGAAGGAAAATATAGTTTTATTTCTTACGAGCCCCTCTGACTCTGAGGTTTGGGAGGTTAGCACATCAGTTTTCCAGAAATCATTAAATAATTCATCGTCGCCGCCTGGGTTCTCTTATTTGACTCTTACCATTCGTATGTTTTGTTTGAGAAATTCCAAGAGTGTTTGACGACTAATTCTATTCCTTTTTTTGATACATACGACTACTTCTATCCTTTATTAATTTGATACTCATTTACATATAAAATTAATGTGAATTAAAATATTAAATAGTGTAAAAATATAAAGTCAGCGGTGTTTTCTTCTGTTATCGTGGAACCTTACCCGGTCCAGCAAGGCTAATTGGTCAACCCACGCCACGCGACAACACTGTATTTTCTCTTTCCATTTCAAACCCCGCGCGCTTATATATACATCACGGCTGTCAGCTTCTTCTTCGTCTTCAGCAGCAATCATTATATTGGTTTCATTCTTCCTTCTTGTTCTTCCATCTCTCTATATATCTTTGTATACCATCATTATCTTCAGCTTCAGTCTTTGCTTAACAGATACATCTTATTTCCACGATGGACAAGAAGTCAAATCAATACGAACGTGTATTTAAGCACTTTGACGAGAACGGAGATGGGAAGCTATCGGCGTCGGAGCTTCGGCAGCGTGTGGAGGTGATCGGCAGAGAGCTGTCAGCAGAGGAGGCCGAGGCGTTGGTGGGTTATTTGGATGCCGACGGTGATGGGTTGGTGGGGTTGGACGATTTTGTTAGGTTTCTGGAGGAAGAGAAAGAGGAAGAGAGAGTCAAGGGCTTAAGAGAGGCTTTTAAAATGTATGAGATGGATGGTTCTGGTTGTATTACCCCCAAGAGTCTCAAGAGGATGCTTAGTAGGTTAGGACAATCTACGAGTTTGCAGAAGTGCCAACTTATGATCTCTAGCTTTGACCTCGACGGTGATGGTGTTCTCAGTTTTGAGGAATTTAGAGTCATGATGATGTAATGTTGAAAAATTAAATCCCATTGGTTTTAAGTTACATTAATTAAATGATTCCGATATCAGTATTTGATGAACATTAGCAGAAAACTGCAGTATTGTCTCTTATTTTGATTGGTTTGCTAATTACAAGTTTGAGGAAAACACCCAACGACAACCGCATTGTTAATATGAAAGACACTTGTTAATTGTGAATTTTACTGGCAGTCTGCTACAAAGTACAAATAACTCGCGATCTCTACATGGAGATTTTTTGGATCAATCAGAAAATCATATTTCCCCTCCGAAACTATCTTCGTTTGCTCTGTTTTACTTTAAAACCAAAGATCCACAATTAACAACCATGAATTACTTGTTCTGCTTCTTTAATACCTCTTTTCACTGATTGTTTAAAGGTGCCTTGACCAGAGGTTTGGTTGAGCTTTCAGAGAACAAGTGCTCCTCTTCTGGTAACTCCTCAACCAATTTTGAAAGCTTCCCAACAACTTCCCCTGCACTAGGCCTCAGAGAGGGGTCTTCCTCTACACAAGCTCTTGCAAGTTTTGCCACTGTGATAGCTGCATCGAATGAGTAATTCTCACCCAACGTACTGTCCATCCACTCCCTTAGTTCATCCACATTCTCTGACTTAAAAAGGGACTTGATTTTCTCTGTGAGCCAAATGCTTCCTTCTCCTTTCATATTGTGCTTGCTTATGGGTGTTTGACCTGATAGCATTTCCAGCAAAACCACCCCATAAGCAAAAATATCAATGCTTGGGGAAATCGTACCTTGGCGCACATATTCAGGGGCCAAATAGCCCAGGCTCCAAGAGGCGGGATTGGTAGAATACGAAAGTGGATCCTCAGTTTCATTCTCAACACACCCTGCCATCCCGAAATTCCCTACCTTGGCACCAAAGTCTTCGTCTAAAAATATGTTTCTGCTCTTCACATTTCTATGCACGTAGCTTGGGTTCATCACGTGGTGCATATACTGCAAACCCATGGCCACATCAAGGCAGATCCTTAGCCGCTGGCTCCATGAAAGGAAACAATAGCAGGAAGAAATGAACTGGTTCTTGATGGCCAGCCCACCGTGAAGCCAGTCTCTCAGAGATCCATTTTCTGCAAATTCAAAGACAAGATATGATTCGGGACCCTCAGTTGAGCACCTTCCGATCAGTTTAAGGATGTTGGGGTGGTGGTGAAGTGCTTCATTGAAGAGTCCAAAATCTATCTTTGTCAGTGTGTCTGAGTTTGTGCGCTTGATTGCCATGCTCTTCCCATTGAGACGACCATGAAACACAGGTCCCTCAATTTGATTAGTTGAGTTGAAGTCTTCAGTTGCTTTCCTCAACTCTTCAATAGTGTATGTCTCCAGGAGCATCTTACGTGGTGTGGTGTCGATAATTTTCCCTTTAACAATGTCAGGAGACCCCTCAAAAGAAACCTTCTTGTCGCAGGTTGTTCTTACACTGAGGTTGAGATGCTGAAGCTCCAAGTCCCCTCCTTTCCCAATCCCTTTCTTTTCCTTTTTGTTCTTTAATCTGATTACAAGGACGACTGCTCCAAAAGCAATGAATATTCCAACTATACCCCCAGCTAAACCAACCCAGAGTTCAGTGTTCCACATGTTTGACTTCTTGTGAGGAGTGAGGACTAAGATATGGTTTAGCTAGAGACACAAGAATAGGCTAACTGCCGAGTGGAATCACAATAGGGGAAATGGCGCAAGGCTTTCAGGTCTAAAGCTTCCTGATGACACATTACACACGCAATAGCTTCAGTAGAAGTAATAAGCTTCGAAGTATTGTATCAACTTCGCTTACCGGATAGCTGAACGAATATCTTGGGTTGGACTGGCTTCGTCAAAAAATAGGCAAAAACATCTGAATGGGATCACCAACCTGAGTTTAACATCAAGCTCCCACGGGGACAGAGGATGAACTGTGAGAGGGACTCTTTCTCTGCAAAGAACCAATTTGCTCCTGAAACCACTAACCGATTGATTCCCAAGTGGAACCTCAGGTTGAAGAGAGACCAGGAGTATGGGTTAATTAGTGAGTAAAACTGAAAATGTGTCGCAGTTCATAAGGCTTTTTCAGGTGAAAGCACAAATACGAATAAATAGAGGAAGAAGCCTTCGGGGCGAGCATATGATCCCCTTTACTCAGACCCAGTCCCCAGGCCACTCAGCTCCATCATGGAAATGGCCTATTGATAATAATGAAAGCCTTTTGTCAGTCTTGGAGAGTAAATATTTCGGATCTATACAAGGTTATAGGCAATAGAATTTTCCGAAGATGTTTCAAAGACAGGTTTCTTGGAGACAATAAAGTTTGTTTTGAATATTTTGACCGTGATTATAGCCACCACTCTTAAGTCTTAACTTATTTAGAGGCTCCTCGGACTTCTATACCAACCTTTGTATGCTCCCCCTTGAACATGCAAGGGACAGTCATTGTTTATCGCCGAGGATGAATATCTACATAGTATAACTAATAAAATATTGTAAAGTGATCGATCACATCAAAGTGCTGAATTTATTTAAAACAATTAGCAGTTATAGTCAGATGAGATTTATGAAGTGTCGACGCACAGAAGAAAAAGAGAGAAAAGAACAGGAATTATTGTCAAGAATATAACTCGTGACGAGTATATTTAACATGCACAAAGTCACAAATGTTATGATGCTTTAAAGAGGAGTAGGCCAAAGCCCCAAAAAAAAAAAAAAAGAGTAGCAGGCTAGACTAGCCAGGCACATTGACACGAAGAATATTGCAATAATAATAAACTTGCTAGATATTCTTAGTTGGAATCCCAGTTTTTGTCCCATGCCAAAAAAAAAATCCCATTTTTTTGTTCATTTTGGAGGAATAAGATTCTATATAAAAGAAGCCAAACGAAAATTTGGGAGTCTTGTCATTTTGCACTTTATTAGTAGTACAAGAAAGAGATGAAACTAAAGTTCATAATGTGGCCTTTCAAGCTAAGCATCTATTTTCTACCATCCATGATAAAGCAAAAGCATCCCACAGGAAAAGCACTGTGCCGGCACTAAGCAGAAACAGACTTTGCAAGCATCAAAAGATGAGAAGGCAATGTACAGAGAAGGTAGTAATCAGGGTGGACATGTAGAAACTACGGTGCAAAGGATGGAACCGGACTATTAAAGAATCCGAGGGGTTAGGTCAGCTGGCTGGGGCTGTCCTAGCTTAACCACAGGTCTCGAGTTCGAGCTGTGGGAATGCAGCACCCTGAGGGGCCAGAGGGCGCCGACCAAAAAGTTTCTTGCAAGCCCTCGATCCGAATTAGTCTGGGGACGTTGTCACGGCTGAAAGACGCCTATTTCCTTGGGATACCGGAGGAGAAATCCAAAAAAAGAATCCAAAAGGAAGGAAATATGGATGGCTGGGTCATGTATACAATTTCTTTCTGAATCGAAAATTTCAGTGGGTAAAAGCTTAAAAGGAGGGTCAGAACTCAGAAGTCGGAATCTGGATCAAAATCTCACCATGCTTTCTGAGTCAGAAATGGCATGGGGATTAGAAAATGGCTCAACTCATGCCTCATCATAAGAACCATTCTTGTAACTGGTGGGCTAATTTACTGGGGTTTAGTCAAAAGGTAATTTGGGGGCTCCAGTAGGCACATCGGGGAACAAGTGGCAGGCATAATCGAAGTACCTCGGCGTCAAACGGAGCAGAAATCCTCTGAAAATCGCAGCACAGAACTCAATATATAGCACGCAAAGCTTTATGACGCAACGTGTGAATAGTTATTGGAGCAGTCTTCGAAGTGGGAACTTCTAAATTCAGTTGACGTACGGCAAATGACTTCAACGTAAAAAGCAAGATTGAGTACAGAGCACGCATACATATATATACAAATATGTGTGTGTGTGTGTGTGTGTGTGTGTGAGTCGGATCCAAGCACAAGGTAAGGTTTTGGGGGGAGGGGTTTAAAGTACATAACAAAACGTGCACATGCACGTGACGACACGTGCTCACCACTGTTTTTACTTCTTAGCACTTGTCTTTCTTATTTTTCACAAAATTACACATGTTTGTTGGATTTTAGCAGCGCATTCTTGAGAGTTAAGAGACTTGCGAGTTAAGACACTTTTTTTTTGGGAAAAAACTTTATGCATTACATTAGGTCCAGAATATTACAACTAGTGTGGATGAGCATGCAAATTTTTCCACTCATCCAAAGATAGTTCTGTCAAAAGTCAAAACACCGCCACCCAGAGTTCAGCTTAAAACAATGTCATTAAGATTTACTGATGCATTAATTAACATTTAAATATTCGTGTGTTAATGAAGCTAGTCAAGTCCCTACATCACACGTGAAATATAAGAAATAAGCTTTATTGTTTATAAATCAAGAATACCGTACTCTGTTAAAAAAAGTTTTATAAAGTGCAGGGTCGTGTTTTGTTTGATTTATTCTTAAGGGGACAGAAATTAAAGCACGTGGCATTCTATTGTCGTTTCCCGACCAAAACAGGGCCGTCCCTCAAGCCCACGAGGAAGTGGCCCAATATGGCCCAACCTTTTTGTTTAAAAGCGGGACCATATATCGAATTTAATTACAATTTTTCAATCCTAATGTAGCATTTGTTAGAGATATTTCTCATCGGGTGGGAGATATGGGGGAAATCAAATAGTAATAGTTGGGACAAGACACGAAACAAGAAACCACCCGACTAAGGAATTTTGGAGAAGGTTGGGTGGATGAATATGGCCTACCCAGCCACGTGGAGACAAAACATGGTTCCATTATTACAAGTGAATGTGACTCCCATTAGCCCCTCTTTTTTGTATCACATCACCTTTTCTTTTGTTTTCAACAACACCACCCCAAGCACTCAAATAAATGAAGTGAAATGCAGTTAGTTCTGGGTGTAAAAGCTAGCTAAGAAGTTAGCTTGAATGCTAAATATAAGACTTTAAAATATTTTATTTTTTATATACTGATTCAAATTAAAAATTAATACATAATTTTTATGTTATATATAAACATTTTAGAGAGATCATATCACATTTAATAGAATTAAATTATTTATTTAACTTTTTTAATCTAATATAATTACGTGGCAGAAAAAACAGCAGCAGAAGAAGAAGACAACACAGCAATTACATTTATGATGTGGTAGGGGTTTGGTGGAGAGAAGGTCAAAAAACGCATTAGGCCTCCAGAGTCCAATCATGTCCAAACAAAAAGGGAGTTAAGAATAAGACATAAAAAACTTTGCGGAGTTAATCAAGGAGTGATTATTCATTTAATTATCTTTTTACTACGAGTATTAATTTATAAATATCTTTGGGACGTAGCTTAACACGTGTGTGGGAATATAAAACAAGAAGAATGGCCGGACATGCTTGCGTTGTCAAAATCAACCTCCTCGTCAATTGAAAATTATAAATTCCCTTTAAATTTCACGTACAGCAACGCGAATACTTAGACTAATATAAATTAGTATATAAATACAATACAATGACCAATCTTTGGGTGACTTTCTTAAACGCACCAGACACGTGTGTGTACAGGGCGGGTCTCTAAATTGACGCGATCTTTGTCGGGGATGATATTTGGTCATGCATTAGATGGCAATTTAGAGTCTTAAAAGTCACCTTAATTAATGTGGTAATAGATAAAAATAGGATCCACTGTTATTATGTACTCCTCCGGTCCTTATTATAAGACCCAATTTGACTTTTTATTTGGTCCTAATTATAAGACCCAATCCATTTTGTCTCTTATATTTATGCATTTTTTTCCAAGATAATCCTTCTAATAATGATAGTTTTAGCCAATATACTTAATTAGCAAGGATATTTTAGGAATGACAACACTTATTTATTATAAATAACCAACTTAACTTACTTCCTTAATCTCCTCAAATAAGTCAATTGGGTCTTATAATTAGGACCGGAGGAGTATTTCTTTATCTCATTGGCCCAAAAAAAAAAACCTATATATTTATTTTAGAAGACTTTAAAATTGATCACATTTCAAGTTGCGTAATGCATTAAAAGTAACGGCAAAGAATGGGCAAAGAGGATGAGTGGAGATAAAAGGTTAAAAAAAAAAAAAAAGGAATATATGAGTGGAGAACTGAGAAAGTGAAGAATCTATAAATGAAGCTGATGAGTTTCGAATGGATGGGGGGGGGGTTGGACATAGTCCGTGATATGATATGAGCAGAAATGGTACCTTATTTAATGAATTCTTATTATTCGTATTATTTTTGCCGGATCTTAAATAAATCAGTGAATGAAACGTCTCCCTGCAGGCCGTCCTCAATAATTTCGGCTTTCGATATGAAATACACGGGATGTCCCAATCCCGGTGGCGCCTTCTACCTCACGGTTCATCCAATCCCAGTATTTCATTTATTTATTTTTTCAACAGGAACTCAGTATAGTGCTCCCTCCTCTGCTTATGATAATTCTTGTTATGAGTTACTCCTCCGGTCTTTAATATAGGACCCAATTCTTGAGTTGGTTTTGATTCTAAATATAAGACCCATTTCTCATATTTATCAATTTTCTCTAAATTACCCCTATGGATACCCCCTCAGCCATAGTCAAATAGAAGAGGAAGATGAAGTATTAAGAAAGATGGTTATGGTGTTTTAGAAAAAATGTGTGATTTTTCTTATAATTAACTAACTTACCTAACTTCCTTAATCTAATCAAATTAGTTAAATGGGTCTTATATTAAGGACCGGAGGAGTATTAAGCAGGATATTAATTATATTTTTTAATATTATCTTTATTTAAAATATGATTAATTACATTTTTTATGACTTATTGAATGTAATTAATGAATTAAATAGGAGTAAACTTAAAATTATATTTTATTTTTAGATCAAATCGGGTGAATTGAGTCACATGTCTCAAAACTCAAACAACACTTAAAATTTTTTATTATAAGTCTCATATAATGAATTCATAGATAAAATATAATTAGTTAAAAGCAATAAATAAATTAAAAATATATTTTTATTTTTAAATACGTCTTTATAATAAATAAGAGAGAGAAAAAAAGAGAACATATAGAAAAATATGATAAGAGAGAGTTAACAAATGAGAAAGAATAAATAATTAAAGATAAAATTAAAATGTATATTAAATGTTAAGACAAATTCTAAGTTAAAACTAATAAAATAGGTCATATTCCTCTTCAAATTTTTAAAACTTATAAATAGAATCAGAAGCACAACTCATTATCATAAATACTCAAATAGTTTGTTAGTGTGTGCCCACGTAAAGTTTGTTAGTGAGGGCGTGTGAGAGGCCACGTGATGCTTAATCCTCACTTCAACCTCAACCTCAAAATGCTAAGTAACCGTCTGGCATAATTTATAAATCATAAATGTGTAATTAATAGTAGCCAGTCTAGTTATAAAATTACAGAGTACGTTTTCTCTCCGCCGATTTGGATCCCCAGAACATTAGTTAATTCCGTGGTTTTCGATTCCCACCCAACGTCACCATGCCCTCCTTTTTTTTTTGGTACAAAAACTTTTGAAAAGGGGTCAGGTTCACCACGATCTAAAGGCAGGACGAAATCTCCCTTCCTTTTAGTTCATACTAATATTAGATAGGGCGAGCCGTCAATTACCATCATGTGTTTACTTAGACACCTAGGAGTTAGGATGCCTCCCCAAACGTCGCAATTGGAACCATAACAAAGTGGTATTTTCCAGAGATTAAACACATGCCAATTTAGTCATATGTCTCACCTCTTTGCCTGAACCCATAGACGATGGGTACCATGCCCTCCTTTTGTCTCCTACACTAAAGTTAAAACCCATTGGATCGCAATTCAATGTTCCAATGTTGATATGATCCCCACCTTAATTCCTCCTTAATTTAATACCACTCCCTTACATGCTAGTACTCCATTATTCTATCTTCTATTGTCTCCTCTCTATATCTACATTATTCCCCGCTACCTTCCACACACCCAGAGGCTTGTCACCACATGGATTATTCCATGGCAAAACCACCCATGTGTGTTCTTAATCTTCTTCCCCCTGTTTAATCTCGTTAATTAATCTTTGATTAGCCAGCCCACCAAATTTGCAAATTTCACGCGCACACGTATGTGCATATGTCTGAGCTGTCCGGGTGGCTACGGCATATGATTCTGAAACTTGTTCTCCACTCCTTGGCATTATTCTTCAAGGGGAAAAGGTAACAATAAAAGGGCATTATAATTATTGCTGGAGAAGGAAGTTGGCATTCCCTCGTGTAAAGGTAATTAAAGCATTCGAAACAGATTCCAAGTGCTGGAGAATGGATTCAAAGTAATCTACTCCTAGCTTTGATAAGATTCATATATCTAGAGTGGGTGAATGCGAATAATGGCATTTAGAATTTGTACTCCTCCGATCCTAAATACAATATCTTTATAATATAAAACTCTTATACACATTAATATAAGAATCTTATATTTAAAACCAAAAGAGTACTAATTAAACACCAGTCATGTCATGCGTATTAATTCTCACTTTAAATGTACTGCATATCATATGTTTCTATATTAAAAAAAATAACTCCCTGCCCGTTCACCCAAAATAAAAATAACTCCTCACCCATAATTTTGTAATCTAACAACATGAATGGTCTTAAATAATTGAGGGACGTTGGGAATTCAATCTTATTTATAACTTTGTGCCGATAATGTATGCTCATTGAAAAAAAATAACTTCTCTATGCTAATTAAAACAAGTAACTTCTCATTTTTAATAGGATTTTTATCATTTTAAAATCATTTTTCACATAATTTTATTTTTTTATCAAAATTAAGAAATTATTCCCTATTTTTCTTTGAAAAAATTAATCAATGAAAAGTTTTACCCAGTTTGTGCTTTTGAGGGGAAAGGCGTTTCCATTTTCAGCACGATTTTGGGGATCACGGGCTCCAGCAGTAGCTGTAGTGTTTCGTCTTTCTTCCGATTCCATGAGCATTATTTATTTTCCGGTGGGACCTGTCATTCCAGAGCAGTGAGAGTCCACATACGATACAGTATGAAGGAATTCTGAGCAATCAAAACTTCCCTTTCAAGCCCAATCCTTTTTCTCTCTCACTGTCTGATTTCCTTGCCAAGCCATTTCCCACTCCTTCTCTGTAAGGCCGTAAACGCTCTCCCCTTCCTCATTCTTGTTCTCTCGCTCCCACTTTACCCCCCCTCCCAACCCTGCAGAACTCTTTTCTTGGTTCGTGATGAACAGAGAGTAATGGGTTCTTGCGCTTCTGTTCATAGAAACACGGAGACCGACATGAAATTCAAACTGTCACTTGGATCCAAAGCTGACAAGATTGTGATTCCCCCATCACCCGTCAAGGAAAAACCCCGCAACGACAACTTTCCGATCCACGGTATTGCTCTTAAGTCCTTCAGGGACTGCGATATGATCCATGTTGAAATTTTTATCGCTATAAAATTTGTGTTTCACCAGTTAGTTTTTTCCTCTGCTCTCGCCTGGCTGTTTTAAAGGGTTACTTTTACATTTAATTGATCTCTTGATATACAGATGCTGTTCTTTTCATTATTATATTTCTCATAGACGTGAAGCTTGACACTTTTATCTTTCTGTGAACGTTTCTGGAGTTTCTTTTGACGTGCGATCTCAATTGTTATGGGATCTGCAAATATTTATTTATCTGCTGTTTCAGATATTTCAGAAAATCCGAATTTTTTATCAGATTTTGTTTTCATATTTTATGTTTCTTATTGTTACTGGTTTTGGAGTTTGTGTGCCTTATTTCTGTTTGATTCCTTCTGCTGGCCCTTCTAGGTGTGTTGATAATCTCCTATCGATCTATTTGGTTTACATGGTCCCTATTTCGTACTGATTTTTTTAGATTACTTATTAATATTAAACTTTAATTCAATAAAATGGAAAGTCACTATAATTTAATTGTAAGATGGTTACTAAGAGTAGGCATCTAGTTAATGGAGCTATTCAGCGTCCAAGAGATATCTCCCGTTCATCAGAGGAAGTGTATCCATTAGTTGAGCGGAGGTGTCCCCACTTAACCAAAGAGGCAAGTCGCTTGTTAAGCTTGCTATAAGTGGATATCTCTCTCTAAGATTGCAATAATTAATACTGCGTGACTCGTGCTATAATCAAAACCGGGAGCCTCCTAGAGAAGAGGAGGGAACGACTTAGTTCAGCAATTTTTTTTTTTGGAAGATATTGTTTTACAAACTGAATTGAATTGAACCCCTTCTCTCTTTCTGCTGAAGTGTCTCGAACTCCATAGATCTTATCAGCCAGCAGCTGGGTTGAGGCTTTGGTCTTAACATTTTCAAACGTTATTTACAGAGAAGTAATGGTTAGAAAACAGAAACACTTTAGAATATCATGCACGCTGGTGATGATACTGTTTTTACTAGCAGATGTCTTATTGTATTCGGTCATTGATGGTAGATGCGTATTGGTATGTATGTGGTCGCTGCCCTTTGGAACTTTCGTTTCTGTGGGACCAGAAGTGCAGCATACATCATACGGATTGCCTAGGCCTCTAGTGGGGAAGGTTGGTGTATTTTCCATGTAGCTTCAACTTACCACGTCATCTATGGACTCCACTAACTGGTGAGAGTCAGCTATAAAGGACGAGCAATTTTAAAATGATAGAGCATATTGCATTAAGTATGATAAACCTTAAAGGTGAAACCTATAAAAGAATGCTTTCTGAATGGGAAATGCCTACAGGATGTTACTTCTCAGTCTACCTAGACCTATGGATCACATAATGGGGTAAAGATGGGGTGTAATGCCAAGGAAGAAAGGAAGGCTTTCAGAATCATGAATTCATGATTTTAGATGGAAGATCTTTGTCAATTGCAAATTTTGTCAAGTACACAGGCATGAAGATAAAATTGTGGTTTGGCATCCTTCTCAAAACTCTAAGGACTGCTGCGAACCAGTGCATAGAGTGCCTCTAATTATGCTTGCTAGCATAAAATAAGAGATGGAGAATGAAGTTGGGTGTCCAAACTGTGTCATCTCTTGCTTGTAACATTTCAAAATCAAAAGCAATCTTTTCTGTTGGATTTATCCTTCTCTTGTTAATTGGATTGCTGATTTCATTTTCCCAGGTGTTGCATTCAAGTTGAGTCTATATTCATGCCTTTTGCACGCATGAACTGAATGTGAATTTTTTTCCCTGCCTTGACAGGTAGCAAAGAGGAAACGTTTTTTGATTCAAAGCCCTGGATAGACTCGGACGGCGAAGATGATTTCTATAGTGTCAATGGTGGTAAGGATTTCTTGCTATTGTTTCTTCTTCTGAATTTTTTCTGTCAGATTATTTACCTACCTAGCTCCAAAGATTATAGTAATGTAGTTATGTGCTGACTATAAGTTGAGGTCAAACTGTGCCCATCTAAAAATTTTGCTGAGGGAATAGTCAGAAGGATACACGAATTTGAACTGGAAAGATATTCATGATTATACTAATCAGTGTCATTGTAATATAAGCACATGAAGAATGTAGAGCCACGTTGAACTACAGTTAATTTTAGCTTTTTGTTTGATCATAACTCTTCCTACACTCAGATGGGGTATTTCTTTGCCTGTTTCTCGTAATGCAGAGCTTACACCATCTCGGGGCAGCTCTCCGGTTCACCACTCTTTGGGGAACTCTGGTGTCAAGAGAACCCCTTCTGAGAATAGAAATCCCGGTTCGCTGCAAGAACCATCTCCAACGGAAAGGAAGAAGAAACTTGTAGAACTTTTTCAAGACAAAGATGAGGCTGAGGGTGAGAAAAAAACCCCCGATACCCAAAACAAAGGTGAAGAAACTCAAGTTAAAACAACTATCCAGGACTTGCTTCCAAAATCTGCACAAAGCACCCCATACATCTCGGGGGCCAACTCTGTGTGTAGTAGTGAAAGAAGCATGAACGAGGACCCTCTGTCCATCAGGGAGAAATCTGGTAAGTCTGTCCAGTGCTGCCTTCCGAGCTTGGCCTCATGTCGTAGCTTTAGTGAGAGGAGGAGGAAGATGAGTCCTGCAATACCAGCTAATGGAAAACCTTGACCACGATTATACGTTGCAGTCTTGACACAGAAGTGTCTTTTGACATGTTGTAAAAGTGGCTGAATTGGCATTATGTGAATGTGACTGTGTACATCTCAACATTTTCCTTGTAAAGAAGACTTATAATATTAATTTTGAGAGCATTAAAAACTTCTGACTGAAGTGATGACGCTCTGTAAAAATGCTATGAGATTTTCTTGTGATAATATATCTTCCAGGGCCCAGTTTAGCCTTAGAACTGGTTGTCTCTTGTGACGCAGTACTTATTTGATTCGATTTATTTTTCCAGATGAAGATTTACTTGATAGAATCATCCCACAAATTATGTCATGGAAGACACGCATAAATTGAGCTTGCTTTGACTTCAATATAAACAAGAAAAAGTGATAGTAGAGTATTTCTATTTTATCGTCAAGTGGAAGCCATAGATGATATTAGTTGGAACTGAATGAGGGTTGTTCAGTTGCGCTTGAGAAGGAGTAACGTTGCCTGCTCGCAACAGTCGTTGAATTACTAGCTCCTTATCATTCCTATTCCTATACCGCCTAAATTCAGGACGAAAGCCGGCATTAGAGCTCTTTTTTTTTGTCAACACAATTAACTCTATGCCAGGTATGAGGGAAATAGAGGAGAGAGGAGGGAAATTTTTTATGAAATCGATTTAAAAAATTGAAAAAGTGGGGATTATAAAATTTTGGGTTAATTAATCCGCAAGTCCTTATAGTTTCAACGAATTTTAAATCAGGTCTCTATAGTTTTTTTTCTTTTTATTAGATCCTTATACTTTTATCTTTTTTTAATTAGGTCCTTGTATTTATTTTTCTTTTAATTAAGTCCTTATAATTTCATTAAATTTTTAATCAGGTCCATGTAGTTTTAATTTTTATTTATTAATTAAATATAAGCTTAATTAAATAGATTAATAATGAAATATAAAATATTAATAAGTAAATTAAATTAATAATTATGTAATAAAAAATAATAGAATTAATTAATTCAGGAAAATTTTTTAGAACAATTAATTTTTTTGCTGAAAAAATTAAAATCATTATAATAATTCAATATCGTTAGAATATTATTGTTTATAAACTAATATTAAATAATATATACTATTTTATGTTTATATAATAGTACTATTAGAATTCATAAAATAAAGAATAAAAAATTCAGGGACTTAATTGAAAATAAAATGAACTTATAAGGACTTGATAAAAAGAAAAATAAATACAAGGACCTAATCAAAAACAAGTGAAAGTATAAGGATCTGATAAAAAGAAAAAAAACTATAAGGACCTAATTCAAAATTCGTTGAAACTATAAGGACTTGCGGATTAATTATCCCTAAAATTTTAATAAAGAAAAACTGTAAAATAAAATAATAATAATTAATTAAAAAAATTTAACCCCACTTCATTAATTTTTTAAATTGAGTTTATCAAAATTTTCTTTCCTCTTCCTTTATATTTTCCTTATACCAAACAGACTCTAAGAGTCATCTTCTTTTGGGCCAGTAAGTTATTCAAAAGGCAAAATATCTGGAAGTTTTGCAGATGAAGAAGATAGATACTTTTTGTGAACTAAAATGATTTAATTAGGACTCTTAATTTAGTATTGTACTGTAATTAAATTTATTTAAAAATAAAAAATTTATATATTAAGTTATTAACTGTAAAGTGATGCAGTTTGTGAATTAATGAGAGCCTTGGTTTCGTAGGATCGGCCATTGAGTGTGGGGCAGCAAGCTGTGGGCTGCTGGCTCCTTCCCAGGATCAACTGAATTGGATCTGCCAATGCTCGTAACCACGAGGATTCACACAAATTAAACAACATTATATTTAGTAAAAAAAACTAATTTCTCTCAAAATAGTAAATTAAAGTTTAAATTTTTATCAAAAGAAATACTTATATTTAGGGTTCAACAATATTTTAAATATAAATGCTTACAACAGCACGATGACTCGTTAAAAAAAAAAAAATCACACAAATTGCCTCAAGAAGAGTCTACAAAAACCCAGACGAAAAATGAAGAGTGGACAAATGGGGTCCACGGGACAGGTGTATCAGAAATTGAAGATGCCTTGCCCCATCACACAGAGAGTGGACTCTTTCACTATCAGGCTCCTTATCCCTTTCCCAGATAACCCACTCGCCCACTCCCTTGATAACCATTTGGGATTACCCTCCTTCACTCCTTTATTATTGCACTCACTCTGCATTTTGCATACGCTTTGCTTCATTATTAACAAGGACTATGTATTATGTATATAAAACTAAGTGTCTTTTGCACAGAAAAAGGAGATACGAAAATGGGATTACAAGTGAGATCAAACTCGTAATCTCCTACTTACAAGAGAAGTTTACATGTCACTAGACTACTATCAGGTTATTAGTTTTTTTGTCGCTTTTTGTTTTTCACCGAAAAAGGAGATGTCTGACTCTAATTTACGATCTTTCACATTTGTGCTCCTACGTGTCAGTATTTGATGGAGAGTGTGGTTTAAAAATTATGATTACGTGCAAGGTACATGTATTATCATTTCACTCGCACAAGCATATGTCTGTGGTCTTTCTATTTCTATAGTACACTACTCTTACATCAAAAGAAATATTCCACCTCTATACATAACTTGAACGAATCACCGTGCTCATTTCCTGCCCCGCGTGAAACTCCGGATTCATACCAATTATATTATAAAATTTTGAAAATTTAGATAACAACCAAGAACACTGATTTAAAAAAAAAAAGAAAATAAAATAAAACAACCATTTTGAAAATAAAATAGTATTTACTTCCTTATATTGGAAAAAAGAATATAACTATTAAGCAAAAATTTATTGATATATAACATAAAATTTAATGTTGGATCCATATTTAATTAGTTATGATAACATAACAAACATAATATGTAAATGTATGTGTATAAATTAAAAGAAATTTAAGTTCCTCCCTTTCAGAGGCATACACATAAATCAGTGTGAAGCCTGAGCAACTTCTTTTGAAGGGGTCGGATATGAAAAGGCTCGATAGACATGAACCCTACTCAACCATGCGATGGCAGAAGCAAAGTGATGCACTATCCTTTTTATGGACCCAGTTTCCCTGCTAAGCAATGTGATGAGCACCAAGTGCTCATCACCCAAACGCAGCGTTTTACTAAAGAATGGAGAAATCTTGGCCATTGGTTGTATGATAATCCTAACCATCCAATTATGAAATATCCTTGTTGTATTGTGGGAAGACTCCAACAGATGAGGCCAGATTCCGCTTCTCTTCTCGGCAGAACCAGTTTTCTGGTAGCGTCATCCCTATGAGTGTCATCGGCGGTGGCTGTCCTTGGGTGGCGCATGGGGGTATTAAACTCTACGGCACTCAACACATGGAGGTTGAAGATGACGCATGGTTCAGCGGCGTATGGCGAGAGATTTGGTTCGATGATGCTTGGAAGGATTGCGTAGATCTGATTTGATGCTGTAGAGATTCATGAACCAAGGTAGGATTCAAAGAAGAGAAGACTCAAAGCCATTGCAAAAATTCAAAATCATGGTTCAGGTGCTAATTTTCATTGATTTCTTGTAGAAAAATGGCACCACTCTGGTTCAAATGCAGGAAAAAAAAATTTGCATAAAGTGGTGTTGATTCTGAAATTGATCTCTATCGGAAGTATTAAGTTTTGGGAGCAACTTAACAGTTTTTGGTCACATTCTGAAGAGGGTAACTTATGAATGGAGAATAAAAGTTCAGGTTAGTAGCGAAAAAATGTGAAAGGAAAATTTGGAACTTGTTCTGTTGAATCGCATCTCCCTAAGTTTGGTTCATGCATTTTATTTGTCACAAATTAAATCTTTTTATTATATGTATGTTATGTGATGAAAAGAATAGGAGTGTCTCATAGATGTTAATGGTAAAACGGAGCTTAGTTTGTAAAAGATAATCTCATGGACCCTGGAGGCTGATATATTAAGCTAGACAAATAAAGTTGATTTTGATCAAATAAAAATGATGACCCCGATGCTTTGGCTCTGTTTTTCCATGCATTTGCTGGCCACTAATTCAAGTTTCCAATAAATCCATATTATGCGTTCAAATGTTCAAATTAGAAGGTTGATGTATTTAAAGGAACATTTACATGAAACTATAGTTTCAAATGCTCGCTTCTCACCTCTCTTGAATCCTTAGATAATGTATATACATTCATGTTTACCAAATAGCCATATTCTTGTTTATTATTTACTTGTTAGTTCTAGTTGCTAATTGTAACTCTTGTCTTAAGCATTTATGGCTTTGCAACCTATAAATGTTGATATAGTTTGAAGTAGTATCATCATTACTTTTGTTCTTTTGTCATAATTTATGCCTTCTATAGGTACCATGTTCTCCTGGCTTCATTAGCTTATCTTAAAGAGTATACGTATCATTGGAAGAAGAATTTAAGAAATTGAGTCGCAAGCATTAAAGTACAACAAGGAGCTTGCAGAATAAATTGAAGCAAATCAAGCACTACCACACTGCCTCCATTCCAGTGTGCATTTTATTGTCCTGTATAAATGAAAAAACATGTATTTTGTTAGTTATGTAATCTGTAAAGCCTATTAATAGATTGATATGTACAGAGGTTGCTTATTGTAGATGAGATTGTTGAAGAGAATAAAGAGAATAAAATCCTATTTTTATGCAAATTATATGTATCTATTTTTCTATTTATTACCTTGTGTGTAATTTGCCATAAGGTCTATGGCTTCACTTGATGGAATTTCGTTGACCTGTGCCTGCATTTGCAAACATCAATGGTTGGGACATCAAAATATTATAATTGTATATAGCACTTAGTACTAATCAATTTATTGATTTATACCATTAGCAAGCTTGTAAATGACAATGGTTGTGATGTAGATGATGAAAAACTATGTTGTGATGAAGGAATTGAGAATGAAAATGTTGAATCTTGTGTTTGTGCAAGTTGTGTTGGAACTTCTAAATATGAAACTGTTGAAACTTGAGCTTGTGTATTTTTCATTTGATCAATCTTTTTTCTTCCCCTTTGTGATGAAGCCTCTCTTTTTTTCCCAGATGGCTTCTTAGATGATGAAGCATCTTGAGAGTCCTACAAGAAATAATACAAATGCAAAATAAGGAATATTCTTTTTTCTTTATGTACAAATTAAAATTCAATACCTTTGATTCAACTTTTCTTCTTATTTTCCTATTCTTCTCCTCCCAACCTTTCCAACGTCTTTTTC